GCCCAAACTGGCCACTGTGACTCCCACCACCAACTCGGCACTGATCATCCTAGTCAAAGACAAGTGTTCATGCTTGCAGGCAACATCGATGCTCAGGGACCAGCCCAGAGTCCCCAAGGACACCGCTTGCACCCAGCAGCCATGCCTGCCTGGGAAAATGCTCTCGCACCGGCTGCATGCGAGCAGCATGGCAGCTCAGGTGGGGGCCCAAGGACCAGCACAGCTCAGCTCCCACCACAATGTTTGAAGGATGACAGCAGAAACCCAGCAAGACTGTAAGTGCTGCTGCTCAGCACCCATCCTGTGGTTTTCTTTGAGCCCAAGCTGTTCATGAGTCTCCTAGGGTGGCAGTCACTGCAGCTGGGGACATGCATCGGTGCCTACAGTGACACCGGCCCTAGGACACATAAAGCCACAAAGGAAATGGTAACAAAATAGTTTTATTCTGCTTTATCAAAAGAACTTAACACTATGCATGTAAACTTGAACATATGTATTGTGTTTCCTTAAAGAAGGTGCAGATCCAGTGGCAGACCCCTTTAGTCACACGGGCACACAGGCCTTTCAAATGGGGAGAAAAAACAGTTCAAAACCACGTTCCAGGACACACCCATGTTCCTGCTCCACAGCTCCCATCTCAGACAGGAGCAAAGGCCAGAGTGGGGTGTTAAAGCCTTGGCAATTCCCTCCTCCTGCACCTACTCAGGCTTCTGAAGTGGTGGCTGGGAAAGCAGAGAGGGATGGAGGAGGCTTTGCAGAAGGCACCGAGCATCACCCATGTGGTGCTGCAGGACTTCAAAGCGCAGCAGCATCCCCAGGTCTGCCTCAGACCATGCAGGCATGAGATGGCTGATGCATACCCAACCAGAGCAGGATGACATTCAGCCAGAGTGACAGCCACTAATGGCAAAGCCATGCATCCACCTGGATGGCTGCAGGGAGGCCCAGCAAGGCTCAGATCCACAGGGAAGCAGCCCTTCCTGCAGTGGCCTGGAAGGCTTTCCTGCTCCCTGCACAGAACGTGAGCTGCCTGGTTATTGCTTCTAGTGGTTGCCCTTGCGCCCTTGCTTCTTGTCATTCCCAGGCTGGCAGAACTTAACCTGTCCACTCTGCCTGACGCCTGGGGTTTGATGCCAGCACTGGGTAGTGCCCAATGCCAGCAAGTACCACATGGAGACAAGTCTACAACTCCCCCAGGAGTGCTTCTGCTCGAAAAAGCCTGCCTTCGTCTCAGAATTCAACCAAAGCAACTGCTGCAGCCAGCAACACCAAGGAGGTGGAGGGTCAAAGAGATACAACTCCACTTGCTCCTCAAAGCCCTTCCCACAGGAGAAATGGGACCTTGCAAGTCAAACAGTACTTCTAGGAGACATTTCAAACACCACAGCTACAAGATACGCTGCCGTCTCCTCCTGTCCTGGTACCCCCCTTCCCCTGGGGAGGGCACTGCAGGGTCTAACGGGGCTAATGCTGTGCCTGCCCACTCCTCTAATGTCATCCGCCATGGGTTTTCAGCTCTGCCCTGCCTGCTGGCCAAGCTGCCTTCCAGCACGACATGCAGACATCCTTCCTGCTCCTCTGCCCACCCAGTGTCCTTTGAAGGCTGCTCTTCACCAGAAGTTTGCCGAAGCCTTTGGCAGGTGAAGAGTGCTCCCGAGGCTGGGATCTGCAAGGCACGTGGCTGTGCCACAACCCTTGTGCGCCAGGCGTGTACCCTGAAAAATGGAGAAAAACTCTCCTCCTGGCAACAACAGTACCCTTCCCCTCACCCTCAGAGCACAAGGCGGCATGCTTTACCCATGACCTCCCTGGAAGCTGGGACCGGTGCTCAGCAACTTCAGCTGGCCTCTCAATGGGGCAGGGTCCTGGTCCCTGGCTCCTACCATGGCTGTGTTTGAAGAGGAACTGGTATCTTGGAACCGAGCACCAACTGGGCCTTGGGAGTCTGCTGACAGATGGGGGAAAGAAAGACCACCCGAAACTGCTGCAAATTCCTGCAATCATGTATTACCCAAGCTGGCCAGCAGCAGGAGAGGCAGGGTCTGCCCCAGAGATGGAGGAGAGGCAGCCAGGGCAGGAGTTGAGACAGCATAAGGCACTGTATGTTACCAAACTTCCTTAAGGAAAGACTCTGCCATCCTCCAAGTCAAGCCACGCAGGAGAGGAAATCAGCACTGAAAAGCCTGAAGCCCACACAACTCGTTTGGGGAAATCATTAGCAGAAGCGAAGTTCAGGCTGTTTGTTTTGGGTTGAGTGTTTCCCCAAGGCAAAAGCTAAGCACGTTCCTCCCCTTGCCGTGAGGCTGCAGATGGTGCCAGGGACAGAAGATCTCAACGCCAGCACCAACCAGCCAAGTGCCCAGAGTGTCACCACCACCTGGCCTGTCTGATGAACTGTGCCAGGGCCGAGCGCTGCACCTGGCTGCAGCCAAGGGGACAGGAAAGCAGGATGAACGTACAGATATCCCAGGCTGGCAGTCTCTGAACACATAGGAGGTTCAGAGGCAGGCAATGCTGCAGTGCTACCAGCTGGGGAATGGCACTCCAGCTCAAGCTCTTCTCAATCGCTTCCCCAGCTGTCGCCTTCCAGGATCGTCACAGAACACAGCGAGAAACAGGTCCTAGAAACAAGCACATCCTCACAGGCAAGGGGGAGGACAGAGGAAAAGAGGAAAGCAGATTGCACCAGCAGATTTCTCCCCCGAGCACATCTCTTTCTCTCAGCCTGCCATGGCACACGGGGAGCAGGGGCTGGATATGTTACAATGCACACCAGAAGAAAAGATCTTCACTGCTCACGAGTCAAAAGCCCTGCAACACAGCAAAGCCTGGCCAGTGATGAGAGGACCACAAACACACTCCCACCGCAGCTGTTCAAGGACACATGAGGCAGGTCCCACTTCTTCTTGGAGTCGTGGATTTTGCACCAGGGAACAGTGACGCCTCACCTACTTTACAGTTGAGGTGTCAAAACATCTGATCTGCAGCAGAGTGGGGTCCCTTCATTCTTCACTTTGCCAGCAAGGCAGAGCAGCGGAAATTCAGCCCCCTTTCCCTGGTGAAAAGACTTACATAGAAGCTGGGGTCTGAGCAAAGATTTCCCAGCTCTGTCCCAGCCAGCTGCTTGGAGATGCTGCATGGACTCTGAAATCTGGTTTAGGGTGCAAGATGAAACCCAGCCACCCAGCTGAAACATACTACAGTCAGTCACGGGCAGCCAGCGCGAGGCTCTTGCTTGGAGAGGGGGAGTTACAGAAGCCTGTTAGAGATTGCTTGCTCCAAGTTACTATCTAGCGCCACTGCCTACAGGAAAGATTATGGCTATGCAGAACCTATTCAAATAACCTATTCCACGCCAAACCACTCCTTGCCAGGCCTTGCCCTGAGCAGGAACACACCGCCTCCGCTGGCCAAGGAGAGCCCACTCCACTGCAGTCCTTGAGGAGAGTTAGCGCTGGCAGAAACCTGCCTCGGGAGTCCACAAAGCGAAGCTTCATCGGTAGGACGAAGGAAACCTCTTCACTCAGCCTCAGCGAGGAGCACTGGGGAATGACCAGTGTGCAGCAACATAGCATTCAAAGACACATCTCTTACCTCCAAAGTAATGCTTGCTAAATAATTTCACCTACTGCAGAAGGCTTTCCTGGTGTCTGTCTTTTAATACTCCAGTATAGTTATGTTAGTACAGGATTATCCCTCATTTGGAAGCACCAATTTAATAGGGGAAGAAACGGAAGAGGCAGAGCACTTGCAATGTGTTGCTAGAAGAAAATCAACCCAACTGCCACCTATACACAAGATGTCCACGCATGTGCTGCATTCGCCCCGCCAGCACAGGGCAACACCCCCATTCACAGCTGGGCTAGTTGTTGAGCTATACCAGGTATCCCTTCTACCTCTGTCAGCCAGTGCTTTCCTTTGCTCTGAGGTGGCTTTCTCCAGAGGTTTCCGGGGCCTCCTGTGAAGGAAGGCTGGTTTCTTGGGCAGTCCTCAGATTGGCTTGCTGGAAGGCAGAGGTATCCAGAAACACACTGGGGATGCGGTCACCAAAATACAGCTTGCTGTTCGCTGCTATCGCTTGGTATTTCATTAGTTCCAGATACTCGGGGGTAAGTTTCAGCTACAAAAAGAGAAACCAGAGACTGTAAGAGAGAACCTTCTGGGCCCTGCGTTATTAGAACGCAGGCAGCTGCTTCCTTGGACATGGGTTGTTAAATCAGGTGTTTTTCCAGTGCTGGCCACCTGAACCTCATCTCCTGTGCAGAGGAAAAGAGTAAGCAAGTCCTCTTTGACCAGCTTTCAAGCGCTCACCTTGTTGGAATCGGCCAGCTTCCGAGCAGTGTAGTATTCTGCATCAGCTTTTGCTTTCTCTCTTGCTAGGAACGCAGCATCTGACACAGCAAGAAAGGATGGTCAGGAAAAGAAGCATTAGCAAGTGAATAACCCATCACATCGAGGACCTGAGCTGGGAAGGAGCTGACCCAGCTGCGCCCCTGACACAGCCAGGCTGACTGCGTACCTGCACTGCTGGCTTCTTTGAGAGGTACCTGCAAAGGGGAGGAATGACCCCAGTGCATGACCTTGTGCTACTGCACCCTTTATTATTTTTGCAGGATGGCAATGCCTATCAGCTCAGTTCTGAGGCTCCTCTACTTGCCACCACCATTAGCTGGAAGATGACCCCAGCAGCACGCTAGCGCCACGGTTACCTTCAATCTCAGAAATTCGCTTCTCCGTCTCCTTCTCCATTATCTTCTGTTGAAAGTGAATCCTGGCCACCTGAGCAGCCTTCTCTGCCTCTGCAATCACAACAGGCTGAGCTCAGACATTCGCCTCTCGGGGCCTGAGCACGCAGCACCCTGACCCCAGCACCTGGTCGCAGAATCTGCCATGCAAGTAGTTTGCTCTCTGCTGCCTCCCTTTCTGCTTCGATCCTACAGTGTCAGTTTGTACTCCAAGCAATTACAGAAAGAAAACACAGTGCTGATGTTCCTGGATTTGCATGGGCTGACATCCCTTTTACAAGCGCAATTCCCCCTGGCACAGGGATATTTAGCTTCAAGCCCAAGCAGTTTTTCTGGCAGAGCTGTTACCTCTTGGCCAGCTGTAGGAGGAGCCCTGCTGTAGAACAGAGGTGTTCGCTGCTCTGCTGCTATGGGGAGGGAGGTGGGACGTAGATACTGCAGCGCAAACATTCACATTTTCTAAACAACTGACTGTTGGTGCAGCCTGGCCATGCTTCCTTCAGGGAGCTGTCAGCAATGCAAGACAATGTCCTACCCTGGCTTACTGGGGCAAGTAGGAATGGAAATTCAGTCTGGCCCCCATCTGCTAGTACTCCCAACTGGTGACATACCAATGAGTGCTTTCTTCCGGTCTGTCTCTGCCTCCTTCTCTACTACCTTCTGCTTCTGGGCTGCGATCAGCAGCTTGGTCTTCTCAGCCTCCCTGCAGGGTGAGAAACACTATCACAGGGAAACTGAACTGGGGAGCAGCTCTGCAAACCAGGGCACGAGAGGCCAGGGGGACAAGAAGCCGACCAGTTGCCAGCATCATGTCCTCACAGCCACAAGGATGAGATCTGCCTTCAGCTGTATGAGCACGTGCATAGCCAGCAGGTTAAAGGAAGGGATCATTCCCACCATTTGGCACTGGTGAGGCCACATCTGGATGCTATACACAGTTTGAGACCCTCAGGATGAGGACGGAGTCCAGTGCAGGGCTACTGCAGATATGAGGTGGAGGCCAGGGCACACAAGGAAAGGCTGTGGGAACTGGGCTTGCTCAGAGAGAGATGGTGAGGTGAAGGGGGAGCCAATGGCATCTCCCCCTGCCCAAAGGGGTCCCGGAGATGCCAGGGCTGGACTCTACCTGGAGGGGCACATCGAGAGCCCCAGAGGCACTGGCACAAGCTGCAGCACAGGAAACCCCGGCCAGCCCCAAGGCAACAGCCCCTCCCCATGCGAGTGGGGCATCCCTGGGATGGGGTCCTGAGTGGTGGGGGGTCCCCATGCCCAGGGATGCCCAACTCGCCCGGACACATCCCCCAGTGATCAGCTGCAGCTGCGATACTGGCCCTGCTTTGGGAAGGGACTGGAACAGATCTCCACAAGTATGTATCGGATTTAAATCTGTCTGCAATTATGTGAGTTTGCTGGAGGGGAACTTATGGGTGAGACATCAAGACCCCTGAGCCCTCAATTCAGTTTGTAAGTCTTCTACGGGTTCTCTGTAGCGCATCAGTGTCCCCTCTACATAAAGGAGTAGGAACATAGCCTTGATACGGACTCTGTACACGCTAACAACCATCTTTGTGAAGGGCTGAAAGGCTTCAAGGTGAAAAGAGCTATGGAAAAGGAGAAACAGAATGCGCAAGTGCACCTAGACAAGCACACGCTGACTAGAGCCCATCTCTCACCTCCTGAGCACTAGGTAAGAGCTTTCTAATAGCATTATGCCTGTGCTGGACCCTCAAAACCAACGTATACAATTTTATGTACAGCTACTCACATTAGCTCAAAATTTCTTCGGATGGCTTCTGGGATTTTGGGTTTTGTAACACGCACAGCCTATGAATGAAAAAGTGAGTGCATTTTAAATTAAACATTTGGATGTGAGCTGCGTAAGAAATGTCTCTGCAAAACCAGCTGTAGTGCTCTGAACATCTCCATATTGATCCAAGATCACACATAATGTTTCCCAATCCTTTTGTACAACACAGCTGAGCACTGCCACTCTCACAGAGGTGCCTTACGTTTGTATTTTCCACCTGTGCACCTTTTTTGGCACCTAAGTGATCAAGTAACGCCTGTGGACTAGACTGCTAAAGAGGTCCACCCCCTTTGTTAGAAGCAGCTTAGTTCTCCACCCCAGAGACTCTTCAAACACTGCCAGAAAACACTTCCCAAAGTAGTGCTCAAGAAAGGGGCTCACAAACCCAATGAAATTAAATTGAGGAGTGAGACTTGCAAAACAGAGGCAGGGCTATGAGCTCAGAAATGGGTTTTCCAGCAGGAAAGCTTGCAAAAGCAACAACGCAATGAGAGACATAGCAGTGAAGACAGAGGAGAGCAGCAGGGCAAGGGTGGCAGCTGGGAGCTGCTGTTGTTTGCAACTGTGGATCACTGGCAGTGATGTGCATGGCAATGCTGACACCACAACTAAAGTACATGCCAGAGACAGCCGCTAGGCTGCTCTGTGGAGGACTCTCTCTGAAACATGAAGGAAACACCTCCAGAGGCAGGACCAGGAGCTACTGCTGCTCATCTGGCATGTTGTGTGGCTTGTTATTGAGCTTTGGGAGCTGTGGATTGACAGTCCACAGCTGTACAATTGCTTCACAACCCTCCTGCTCCATCGCAACTGTAGATCTAGTGCTGAACCTCCTGCTTCTCTCTGGGGTCAGTATGTCTGCAAAGAACCCAGGGGCTTCCACAGCAGGGAACGGGATGCAGACACATCTAGGCAAGTCTCCACGTGCAGTGTGAAAAGGGAACCGTTTCCATGTGACAGGCACCCTGGCCCTGGCAAACATGCCCTGCCTGGGGAGAAGGGGCCAGCCTGTCATCAAAGCAGGACACTTGGAAATCACAGAATGCTTTGTGTTGGAAGGTACCTTCCAAGATCATCAGTCCAACTGCCTCCCACCACGGGCAGGGACATCTGCCACTAGATGAGGTTGCTCAAAGACCCATCCAACCTGACCTTTAACACTTCCAGTGATGGGGCATCCACAACTTCTCTGGGAAATCTGTTCCAGTGTCTCACTGCACTTACCATAAAAAATTTCTTCCTTATCTAAACCCACCCTCTTTCCATTAAAACCATTGTCCCTTGTCCTGTCACTACAGGCCTCGGTAAAAAGCCCGCTTTATACACTGAAAGGCTGCTTTCCCTCCCTGCAAGCAGCCAGCCAACCTACCTAAATGTGGCAACAAGAATGGCACAACAGGTTTGGTCTCACTCTTCCCTACAGTGGAGATCTCCAGAGATTTCCATCTTAGTCCTTGCAAGCCTAAGGTATATTTTTCCCTGTTTGTTGCCCTGAACCTCAACACGCCAAAAAGCCAGTATGTCCCATAGCCCAGCTAAGATTAAACATGGATTTCTAACATCAAGTGTAATCAGAAAATCACTTAAGATGTAACATATTTCCCTAACTCTGGTACGAGCGCAGAAAAGATTAAGATCTCTCTTCTTTTGCAATTACCCATAGGAACTGCGCTGCCACACTGGAGCGCCCAGCTCTTCAGGGGTGCCAAAGGCAGTTTAAATAAAAACATTTTCTTGCTCTTTGCAAATTAAATCCAATACCTGCAGGTCTGTGGCCTAAAAGGTCCTTTTCTCTACTCTTCAGGTCTTCCCCTAGCATAAAACTAGCATTTAGAAGTGGTCACTGTCATACGGACAGTCTTCAACTGAAAGACCTCAACTCAACTATTTCATGTTATGTGGAACACTGAAGCAAGAAACCTCATCAATCTAGTTAAAGGCGAGCAAATTAAGAGGTGGAACAAAGAATAATCTTTGTTAGGGAATGAACCTACCTGGATAGTGAGACCAGGTGCCATGGCATTGAGATCTTTCTGCAGGGCCAACTTCAGATTCTCATCTATCTGATCTGTGTTTGGAGGACAAGAGAGACACCACTTAGCTTATCACCATTTCTCCTACAGTTTGTGTGGTAGAGAGTCAGCTGGCCTTGAAGAGCAGGTATCTCTATGGTGTAAGATAAAGATGCTTTTTGAGATTATTCAGTACATTGTTTCCCCCTCTATACCCCCTGGAAAATGTTCCTGAGAAGAGAGCCAGACAGTAGCGTCTCTAGAAAGGTTCAGCTACTGCTGAACTCATGGTATCTGAGCTGAGGGCAAATGGCTTCAGGGTCTCAGCAAGAGAAAGCACCCAGAGCCTGCAGCTGAAGTCTATCCCTTCCTGAGCGGAGCCACACCAACCCTGCTGCCAGCAGCAAGCTCTGCCTTAAGTCTCTAGGGACTTGCAGGATCCAGTACTTGCTACTGAAAAAAAAATGCATTTAGTCACTTCCAAGCTCCAGGAAGATCTTTCCACAGAAATGGCCAGTTATGAAGGGATGAAGCTGCATGTACTACCAGGAAACTCCTCTCTGACTACAGATATTTGGCAAGTCCAAGTACAGCATTTAAAGATTTACAGTCTCTTAATATTAAAACCTGGACAACCTTTTATCTTCCATAAACCCATTTTCCCCTGTTCTACCACTCAAAAAGGAACGCGATACTGTTATGTCTTTGCAGGCACAGGTAGGTACTGAGCAGCAGAACATTAAATTTGCTAATTCCTGAACCACTGCTACCCCCTTGTGAAAAAAATAAGAGCATTACAATGAACTGAGAGCACGTCCCTCCTGGCTCTCAATTGCTAAAAACAGCCAGAAGGAAGCTTTTAAAGTAAAAAAGTCAATTCAGCAACAGAACAGGGGCCCAAAAGTCGAAGTAGGCAAGACAAAACCATCATCATAGTGAAAGCAATGGGCATGACTGCACGCACAAGAGCAGGGTGGCTACTTTGTGCATCCAGAATTCAGTCCTAAGTGGAAAAGGACTGAAATCAAATTCTCATGTGCAGATGTGGAAAGACAAAGAAATCCGAATCATTAAGGAGTAAAGTTACATGGGAAGTGACATATGGATATATAAGGAGCTGGATTCTAGACTTCAACTCCAGCACAAAGGCTGTTTGCTCACAGGAAACCTGCTGTAACATATTCCACAGCAGAACAGGAAGATTGCACAGCCCTTGGCGAGTGCATCCAGCTGCCATCCACTTACCGAACAGCTCAATGTACACTTCCTGCAGGGTATGGGCACTGCAGAACTGATTCAGCTCATGGTGGATTTTGTTGAAGATCAAGGTCTTATCATAGTCTGCAGTGTAGTTTCTCACAATATCATACACTGAGGAAGCAAGAGATATTATCACAGGTCACCACTGACATGTACTGCTTTCTGCAATGCCATGACTGCAAAACAACAGCTCAGGGTGTTAGGAAAGTAGTGCAGCACTGGGACAGGTGAGTGGGGGATGCCCGTCCTTCGGAGCTTTCAGGACTTGGCTGGGCAAAGCCACAGCTGCCCTGCCCAGCTGTTAGCAAGAAGCCTGCTGTGAGTGAGAGGGAGGTCAGAGGAGAAACCTGCAGAGGGCAGAGGTCCCCCTCCACCAGTGCTGCTGGGATTATACGACTTCAAAGAGTAGATACACTGCATGGTCCTGTTTTACAATCTGCATAAACAAATGAAACAGTAAAGCCTGTCCAGGGCCTTGCATGCATAGGAACAGACACTACTACAAGGTGAAAGTAAGTATCATTCCCACAGTTACAACATGAATTCACCCTTCAATGCCTCAGCAATGCTAGCACTTTGCATTAAGCTATGCCGCTGAAATAAAAGCAGTGTGGGTCTTTGGTTCA